GGTACGGTAGATCACATCTGATGAAAACAGTGTTCCAGAGGTATGTGTCAGCAGAGATTTCCTGTCCCCAGCATCTGAATTCATTCATCCTGCAGTAGTTTCCCATCATTAAAAGAGGAGTGAACAATGAGTGAAGGTAATAAAGATGAAAGCAGGAACTTTTTACAACTGTCTGATAATGAGGTTTTGGAAACAGAGTTAATAGATGATTTTGTATATCATGTGTTCCTGAAAGGATGAAAAAAAAAGGTATCTCTTTGCGTGCAAGGCATTTACTGTAAACAACAAAAAAAAACAATCCCCCAAATAAACCTTACAGTGATCTGCTGAGGTACAAAAGGTGATGAAAGCTGGAGAGACACAGCCTGCAGCAGCTTGTTATTAAGTTGAGCATATTTGTTTTGCCTGTCTGTAAACTTAAGGCTTCTTCTGGGGCAAAACAAAAAAAAAAAATCCCCTGAGATTAAATTGTCACAGTGGTCTCGGTTCAGTTTCCAGTTTCGTGCTTCTCGTTTCTTGCGTGCCTGATTTCATTCACCTTTATTTTTTAAGCTGATTTCCCAAGCCCCGTGTCACGGCAATGCTCAGCAGCACAGCTGAAGCCAGTTAGCTCCGTTAGCAGGGTGAGCCAGGGAGCAGAACAACATGACCCATCTGCTGCTGGGAAGGGTTTTACATAATGGGGGGGACAAGAGGGCAGAAGAATGTGTTTCTCAGGGTGGGAGAAGTTGGAGTAGGCAACCTGAGCTGTGCCTTTCCCAACAGTCGCTGGACCTGTCCTTGTGTAGGGTGGCAGAGCCCTGCTGGCAGCTGGGACATGAGGACAAGGGTGTCCCAGCCAGGGAGACCCCAAATATTCAGGCATCTGAGACATTTTGCTGCCATACAGCAAGACCTGGACAGGCTGGAGAGCTGGGCAGCGAGGAACCTGATGGACTTCAATAAAGGCAAGTGTAGGGTGCTGCACCTGGGGAGGAATAACCCCCTGCACCAGGACAGGTTGGGGGTGACCTGCTGGAGAGCAGCTCTGAGGAGAAAGACCTAGGAGTCTTGGTGGACAACAGGATGGCCATGAGCCAGCAATGGGCCCTTGTGGCCAAGAAGGCCAATGGCATCCTGGGGGGCATCAAGAAGAGTGTGACCAGCAGGTGGAGGGAGGTCATCCTCCCCCTCTACTCTGCCTGGGGGAAGCCCCATCTGGAGCACTGGGTCCAGTTCTGGGCTCCACAGTTCAAGAAGGACAGGGAACTGCTGGAGAGGGGACAGCAGAGGCTACAGGTTGATGAGAGGCCTGGAGCATCTCTCTGATGAGGAAAGACTGAGGGACTTGGGGCTTTTTAGTCTGGAGAAGAGAAGGCTGAGGGGGGATCTGATCACCGCCTATAAATACTGAAAGGGTGGGTGTCAGGATGGGGCCAGGCTTTTTTCAGTGGTGCCCAGGGACAGGACAAGAGGGAGCGGGCACAAACTTGAACATAGGAAGTTCCATCTAAACATGAGGAGGAACTTCTTTCCTGTGAGGGTGGCAGAGCCCTGGCAGAGGCTGCCCAGAGAGGTGGTGGAGTCTCCTTCTCTGGAGACATTCAAACCCACCTGGACACGTTCCTGTGGGACCTGCTTTGGGTGACCCTGCTCTGGCAGGGAGTTGGACTAGATGATCTCCAGAGGTCCCTTCCAACCCCATGTGATTCTCTGATCCAGCTCAACAGGCTGCCAAGGAGCTTATGAAACTCCAAAACACGGTGCCTCTCATGTTGGTGTGAACAACTTCTGTCACTGTGCCACTGAAATCGGTACCTTCCCGAGGAATGTTGTGAAAATTTAGTGTTTTCCACCAGAGAAAAGGTTCTGTTGAGAGATTACTGGAAAAGTCTGCCTGCTGCTCTATGACTTGTTGCTGCATATTGCTCTCTGGAATCCAGCGTGATATAATAAGACAAGTCCCAGCTGATAGTTGAGAAGGCGACAGAACCAATATCAGTCCTGGATATTTAATTTCCTGCTCAAGCTGCAACTTGTTTCTAAAACCGTGCCTTGTTTGTTTATAGCGCAAGAAAACACTCAGAAAGGCTTTGGTTAATGTCCAACAAGGCCATAAGGTGTAAAGTAGCACTGAGAGCTAAATTTGTGAACCTGATTTGTGTGATCAGTAGACGGTCAATAAATATTTAAGAGCAACTTAGTAACGTTTGATCGGCTGCAAAAGCTCCCCACTGGAAATACAAGCACCTGCAGCAAAAGCAAATAACAGTGTATAAATATATTAAAAGTGACTCAAGTGGAAGCCACTAAGCAGCAGTCGTACTGCTTAGTGTCACTAATGACAGGAGGTGAGGTGACAGACGACACGGGTGACAGTTGCTGTGTGTAGAGTGGCTCCTGACGCCGAGCCTCTGATCTGTTTGGGTGTAGAAGATGGGAGTAGAAGAACGTCCCTTGTGTTCAGCCTGGAGAAGAGAAGGCTCCAGGGAGACCTTAGAGCCCCTTCCAGTCCCTCAAGGGGCTCCAGGAGAGATGGGGAGGGACTCTGGATCAGGGAGGGGAGCCATAGGATGAGGGGGAACAGTATTAAACTGAAAGAGGGGAGATTGAGATGAGATCTCAGGAAGAAATTCTTTGCTGTGGGAGTGGTGAGACACTGGAAGTGGTTGCCCAGAGAAGCTGTGGTTGCCCCATCCCTGGAGGTGTTCAAGGCCAGGCTGGATGGGGCTTGGAGCAACCTGGTCTGGTGGGAGGTGTCCCTGCCCAGGGCAGGGGGTTGGAACTGGATGATCTTTAAGGTCTCTTCCAACCCAAACTGCTCTATAATTCTGTGGGGTAGCTGGGATGCAGTAAACCTGATGGTTGCTATTTGCCTTTGTAGCAGTCCTGCCCACACATTACAGATGTGGAGGCAAGAAAAGAGCAGCCCTCCTGAGGCTCTGCAGCCCTGGCAGTCTCCGAGCACGGGTACAGCATCTCAAACCCAATCCAGATTCCTCTTCAGCTCCTGCCTGGCTGAGGAGGTGCTAAAATGCCCGGGATATCTGCTGATCTACTCAGAGCAGAGATACTTGAGCTAGTTTTAAACAGCAGCAGCCTCTCTGTGGCACCGTTGAACAATTTTGAGAGCAGGGCAAACAAGGCAGCACAGTTAATTATATTAATGAATCAATATTACGCTGCAGTGCCCGGCGTGGAGAGGTTGTGCATACCAACGTAATTCCCAAGGCAAGATTTTTGCTTACAATGCTCCAACAGAGCTCAGTCCTTACCCCTGTCTGGTTTTGCAGATTCTGCAGGGGTCAAACTGGCATTTTTTCTCAGAATTTCAGGTCTTCTGGATGGGACTGCCCATGGACCACAGGCACAGATAGGATGGTGCCTGTAGCTCTGCTTTACCACTTGGGTGGGAGGAGGCAAAGGGCACAGTCTTCTGCTGGAGCTGGGGATTTTCATACATACATTCTGGTCTCTGGAAAAGGCCTTTAAATTTGAATTTTTGGAGATCTTAGAAGTGGCAGATGTCTTGATTCCTTACGGAACCTGCCTTCCTGACTTTGGCACCTGGAAGGACTGAAAACTTTCCAGTTTACGTATTTGCAAATTACAACCCACAGAGTATGTGGCTTAAAACTGGCTGTCTACCTTCAGAAAAAAATCTGTATTGCAACACTGACTATTGCAGTGGGTATTTTGAGACACAAAATAACATTTACAAGCCTAGAGTGGAGCTATGACAGAAAGTAAGACTTACATTTAAGAGTAAACCCCAGAAAAAGAAAGCTATTTAAGCATGACAGGAAAATATAGATTACAGTTCCTGAAAACTTAATAAAAATTAGGGGTTTTCCTAAGTAACAGGAGAAGCTTCAGGTGAAAACACTGATATCAGCTGCTTTTCAGTTTTCAGTGGCTTGGTATCTAACATCTTATGCAGTGAAGAGGGAGCTGGGGTGCAGAATTCAGGAGCAGTGATTTCTTTAGCCAGAAATTTAGGAAATAGGAGCTAGGATCCCCTAGCCTCAGCCAACGCTATCACTTGGAAGTAGATTGGTATGAATAAGATCATTCAGGTAACTTTTCCATTGGCTTCATGCATTCCTGTCGCTGGCAGCATTTTAAACCCAGATGAAATTCCAAATGAGATGCAGAGCGTTGAACCAGAAATAAACCCCACTGCAGACTCTTGCTTTTCCACTTACTAAATTAATTTAGTAACCTGAAACAAGACAGAGAGTATGGCTAGTGTAGCAATAATAGGTATAAATATAATATGGGTCATTTAAAAGTTCCTGCTTGCTATAATTTGGCTTCATAATGACAGCAGAAAATAACTTACATTTCAAGGTGTGTCTACATCTATATCTAAGTGGAACAGTTTATTTTCTTTTTGGTACCTGAGCTAGTGTGTTCACTAATAGCATGGATAAAAGGTAATACTTTATGCCTCTACCTTCACTTGCCTTCCAGCATAATTCCTTCAAGTGATACTAGATGTGATTATATTAGATGACTTAATATTAGATGTGGTTTATTTCATTGCAACTACCAGATTTCACCAGAGCCCCATCCCTGGAGGTGTTCAAGGCCAGAGTGGCTGGGGCTTTGAGCAACCTGGTCTAGTGGGAGGTGTCTAACGAATAGTTCACATAATGGTTACACCTCATCACTCAGCCCTTCACTCGTAATCCACAAATTGCTGCAGTTTAGGATAGACGTTTGAATTAGTGATTTGTTAATTCTTAAAGGAAGAATACAATTATTATCTGGGCAAGTAAGATACTGGTTTTATACTTTAAAATTATTTTTGCATTGTGTTTTGTGGTTTTAGTTGATGGCAGGGATACCTTGGGTGTTGTTCTGTGTTGTTTAAACCAGGTACATAACACAGAGTTAATGCAGTCTTTCTCTGATCATCAACTGTTGGTTCTGGAGTTAATGAGTAGGGTGTTTTCTCACTCTGAACAGCAGGATGACTGTGCTTGCTTCTACCAGCATGTTCTTTTTCCTCTCTGTAGTCCCACTCTCGCCATGGCCCACAGGAATCTGACTGGGAGCTGTAACGTTAACTGCGGGTGCAAGATCCATGAGTACGAGCCTGTCTGTGGATCAGATGGAATAACATACTTTAATCCTTGCCTCGCTGGGTGCATCAATGGTGGAAACCACAGCACAGGGGTAAGTGCTTCACCTACCCAC